CTTAGCAGAAGATCGCGCTTTGTGTTGCGAGCTATAATTTCTCAGGCAGACCAATCGCGTGTATTATCACGATATATCAAGTCGAGTCTTAAACACTCGCCGTTTTCCCCCCGTGTCGGCGAATCAATCTCAAATTGAGGCGTACCTCAAGAAGTGACTTCGACGGCTGTATTTCCACGGTGTTACCGGAGGAGACTATTTCCGAGGCATCCTCGATCGATCTATTCAACCGCGAACGGAGGCGCGTCGTTGACAACGGACGGACTCGCGGCTCCGCGACGCGCACGTCGCATTGTTCGTCCTACGTAGCACTTAATCTTCCTTCTCCCTTCGGTCTGCCTGCCGGCTCAAATTTACATTCCACTTCACCGATTACCGCCGCTCGCGTTACACACGCAAGCCTCACCATTTTCTCCGGTGTGTGTTGAGAAAATCTCTCGCCGTAAAATTAACCGATCCGAAATCTTACTTGAGAATGACATAAATTGCTCGTTCGACTATTTATACGGAAACGTTGTTATTATGGCTCGAGTATGTACAGAGAAAACGCTCGTTCATTGTTTAGCGATAATAAATGACGTTGCTTAGGGATGCGCTGTAGAACCGGCCGGCATTCCCGACCTGCCCGTCGCTTTTGAATCTAAATTGCGCGCGCGCAGATAAGACGGTGCCCGCAAGAGAACGTAAATATATAAAGGCTGCTACCATATACTTATTAAGCAACGTCTCTTTGTAGGCCTCGGTCTTATCGTACGTCCGCCGCGATGTTTTGTGTCGCGGTGCATACCATCCGAGAATTGCACGATGATTGCGTTCATGAAACGATAATAGCCATTAGCGTCATATTTATCAACTCGTACGAGTCGCGTTGCTCTCAAGCGCGCGACTCGCTTAGGAGATTATACATAGGAAAGTTAATTCGTGCGGCTCTAACGAACGAGTGATCTCGAAGAGATTCCCCCGTTCTCGTTTCCGGGGGTTGTTTCTCCTCCTTTCTCCCCGTTTCCGAGTTGTTAGAATCGTCGGAGCTTGCGAGAGAACAAAAACACTCGTATCATCGTTAGATGGCTCGCATGAGTAATTGTCCATCGTTTGCGCGATACGCGATTCAACGCGGTAAGAACGTGCGGAATTACCTCTCGACTGATGTAGCACTTTTCTCATTAGGATTTATGATATCGAGCGATTAGGAAGTGAAAATATTCCTAAGTAAATGTATATTAATAATAAATATATATTTGTTAAAGATGTCATTTGACGTAACATCTGAAAAGATGCAGATTTTCCAATTGATAACATTGCATCTAATGGCCACGTTGATATTCAATGAAGAAACAGTCCCTTCCATACAAGAAGCTCTGAACGAATGTCATAGTGCGGTAATAATTGATTCGTCCAATCTAATCGATCGCCGATTAGTGTATTTTTTTATGACAAAAATGCAACGTTTCTTCGGGCAGAAAGGAACAAGAAAAATATTCGTAAATAAATACACTTTATAATTTTTTTTTTTTAATTACTAGCATATCGCAACCTGGCTGCTATTTTTCGCGCAAATTATGTCCTGCAAAAAAATGCCAGCTGTGCTTTCGGAAGCCGGAAGATATTTTCACGGCGAAATCCCGTGATTGGATGAAGTCGATCAAGCGGGATTCCGGCGGAGACGCATGGCAACACACCTGAGTGCACGTGGCTGAATGAAAAAGCGAACGATCTAAAATAAGTGCGCTATAAAGAACCGGATAATCTGGATGCATCCGCGGTCTCGTCGGTGCAAACGAGACTGCTGGCAACTAGGCGAGGCGACGCATTAAAAGTAGATCCGCGGACATTAAGATTTCACGGACGCGCGCACGCAAAGTGGATATTTGCACCTCGTATCCGCGGACGATGCGCCGGCACCGCGGAATGCGGGTAATGGAAAATGCACGTTAATCTTCCCTAATTTTCCTCGGCCGTGCTAGGTGTGTGCCACTAATTTCGCTTTGTCGTCGAGATAACGACGATTAACGGCCGGTGGACGCGTGTTTCCGCCGTTAAGTCCTCAACATGTCGAGACAGATCGCGCGGCGATGACAGAGCGAGAAGATGAAGCAGCACATTGGCTTCCCCTCGTATTTCCTTTTTCTTTCGGGCTTTGAAGAGATCTCCCGAAATAATTGACGTTAATAAACAACAAAGTAACAACATTGACTCATTAGGGTTCGGTAAACATTTCGCCGACGGCTTTGTTTTATTGGGGGGATATGAATAATAGAAGCGCGAAGTGCCGACCGAAGTAATCTTGCTTGGCTATAAGGCAACGCGCGCGAAGTTCCAAGTGTTGAATCTGAACTCCGCGGCTGTCCGCGTTTGCTTACTCACGTTTCGTATTGAGTTGTAATCAGAGTTAGCTATGTTCGCTCGAGCTTAAGATGCACCGATATGGCTCTAACGGTAGAGATATGTTCCGCATGGTTCATCTTTGTGATTTCATGAAGAGAGGAACTCGATTACGCGCGCGCTATCTTCGGTATTTTATAATAAATTCCAAAAATGTACCGTTAACCACAGTGCGCGATTTCTCTCTTTGCCTCTCACGAGCTGAACTATTTGACCCGGCCGTACAAGAATGTATAAGCGCTCCCTCGGATGTAGTTCAGTAAGGAATGGACTACCTTCCAACGCTAGGAATTTAAAACAAACTTTGAATAGTTCATTAGAACAAGGAAAATTCGAAGGCTCCACATTCTGTAGCCTCTTCGCAAAAACAAATACTGTACACTCCTAACTCATCTTTTACACTCATCGTGCTCCATTCTATCTATATTTATTATTCTCTCACTCCGGATTACATGCCAGGGCACATTGAAATCATTTAAAGCAATACGATTGATCTCTCTATCGGTAGTTTGAATTCTCTTGGATAGCTCTCTTGCGTCGGAATTATTCATTCCAGTTCACCCACATTTTTCATACGTATTCATTGCTGCTGCGCTTGAGGGGAAATAATGCTCTCTCAGATTTCCACCTTATTATAGGAGAAGCCGATATTCGGCGGCGTGCAGTTTCCCTAATCAGTGGAGTGGACCACGACGACGGGAGAAATGGCGAGGAGACTACCGAGTCTCTCCGTGGACGCGTTCATAAATTTCGCGCGACACCACCGGTTTCCCTAATCAGAGGCGCGAGACAGCCGGCCGGCTTGTAGGACGAAACGAACGGACGTATCTAGCCTTTCTCGCGGTTTTCTTATTTGCGAGTGTGGCGGTTGGTAGGTAGGTAGGTAGGTAGGTAGGTAGGAAGGAGAGAACTTTCGTTCGCCGGCGATTCTTCTCTCTCTGTTGCACAAAGCCGTACGTCATGTCGGGCCGTTTAATGGCCTTTTAATACTACCTTACGAGCGCGGTGCGTTTCCCCACCCGCGACTCTCCTTCGCGGCGGGAGGACCTTTGAATAAAGCGGAGACGCGCCGGATTTATCCCGGCGAGATGCGACGGCGGGTGGCGACGGTGGATTCCTGAGGGTCTGTGTCATCGGTCGAAGGCCTCCTCGTAAACCGAATTCCCGAACGACTTTGATCGCGGGGCGGTTTATCTCTCGTTCTTTGTTGCTTCGATCGGATACTTGCACGTGTTTACGAGGAAACGCGCGAGATAAGGGAGTTCTTGTCTTAATATCGCGTCTAATGATGTAATATATAATTTAAACGAGATTCTCCGTCGACACCTTTGGGAGAATGCCGTCTCTCGGACACTAAATACGACTGGAACGCTGGATGCCATTATTTTCGTCCGTCTCTCAGCCAGTGAGCAGAACTTTCCACTGAAGAATTGCCCGGTTATTCTTTCACCATTGTGTACACGATCATAAATCAGAAATGTTAGGATAGTCGCTCCTTGGCGCGAGAATAATAGCACTGCGGAGAGACGTTCTTATATATAATCCTTTTCTTCTATCGGTCAAAGAATATTTCTTTCTTTTTAGCTCTTATACTGGCAATTCCCCGCGGGAAAAAGTCTGGTTGCATTAACCGGATGCGTTGAAGGGAACAGATTCTCTTATGACCCAAATGTGGTTCTTATAACCAGAAATTCACAATGCATCTTCGATGCAAGGAGCGAGTTTTTCCATGCGTTATTACCGCAATTGCTATTGATTCTACCCCCCGGCCCGGAGCGAAATAACAGAGCGATGCGAAAATTCACAGAACTACTTCGTAGGCGTGGTGAAGAACGCTCCTTCCACGGAATAGTTTTCAGAAACCGCCGGCAAACAGCGAGTTGCTTGCCGGCAGTGGATTCCTTCCAAGTAGGAGCGAGAAAGAGAGTGTATTAGCGCCGCAGGTAGAATTGTGCATGCGTCTAGTAGTCTGTTAGACAACCCCATTATTTGCTCGCCTACCCACTTCGGATGCATTAGGAGGGATTTTCGCGAGACTCCTCCATTATGCGTGCACGGCCCGAGAGCACGATTGCTGTGTTTAACGTCGAGAAGTGCATCTTCCACTCGTCGATAACAACGACGATCGTTATGTCACTGGTCGCTCGCGGAGTCGCGCATAAAACAATGCCAAGTATGCTTTACGACATCGCCGGATGCACTCACTGTAAATATTAGTGCCCGACGGTAAAATGTAAGATAAAATTTTATCATCATTCGGATCCCCGCGGACGACGGTAAAGATGGTTTTCTCCTGCTCGCGCCGGAGTGTGCGCGTAACTCGAGAGCGCTATGTAGGTTTCAAGGGCGACCGATTGCGTACGGAGATTTCCTTGCGACGATACACACCGCAATCGTCAGCGCGATTACGCGGTTTCAAGGAAAGCGTTTATCGCGAGGTGCTCATTTCCTCCCGCGTTATTTCACCGCCGGCTCTCTTTCAGTGCCGAGCGGGTAATCGTTGCCACGCCTTTGCAGAACTCGCGGGATCTTTTCGCGTGTCCTCTCGATATGTTTCGCCGAAGCGATCGTGTCTCATTAGAAAATAACGCCGCGGCCACCAGGCAACTCTGCAATAACACGCTTATTACTTCACGAATTTTTATTTACACGTAAAGGAGTCGCTAAGGAGAGCGAGACACACGTGATTCATCGGGAGCCTATCGTTTCGACCGATTTCTTCCTCCTCCTAACGAGCTTTTTGCTCTTGCATCTGATTAGGAATTTCAACTCCTCTTTGATCTCTTCCTTGTAGGGCACCTGCAACGAGAAACACGCGAATTTTATAGCTCCAACGTTAATTACGGCAGCGAGTGGATATGTGAGGGATTTGCAAATTGTGAAGCGCGTGTAATTACGTTATATTTGATCGCGATGTTTCGAATATTCCAGAGGAACGTCCATCCCGCATAAAACCAGGACAACGTAACTCCGCTTATCATAATCAAAAATACTCCACCGACGTCCTCGAAATTCAACGGCTCGACTTTCACTTGCGGTTTCTCCTGCAAAGAGACCAATTTGTCACTCGCGTCAGTCATCGAACTTTGATTATTTCGCTCTGCATTACTTTTCTTCAATGTGAGGGAGAAAAAGATATCCAGCGTAGAAGAATTTCTTTAGAGGAATTTAATTGGGATCCTGTCCGGTTTCCCAAAATAATTATGAATTCTAATAAGGAACTCTACGTACCCAAACAACACGTATGTCTAAAGAACGTCTCAAAGACACATTTTAGACAATAAGACGTTTTTTAGACTCTTGCGATATCTTAGGATGTCTTAGGTTTTCCCGATTTTTCGTTTTATAGTTAACTTGCAGTTCAGATTTAAACTGATGATAATGCAAAAATTGTGTTTTTCTATTCGTGATGAATCATTAAACTGGTGGTTTTGTAATGATAACTTTTAAAATTTAATGATTGACCATGAATAGAAAAACAATTTTTACGTTATCATCCAATTATATATATAAGCTTAAACCACAAGTTTAGAAAATGAAAAACCGGGTCTCATTGTTATCTGGGTTAGAAGTGTATATAATGTTTCAAACATACGATTCTATGTGAGAAACATAAGCAAATTCTATTTAATCGCCCCCAGCGTCTTCACCAAAATTTTTTCTAGTTTCTATTTTACATTACGATTGAACAAAGTATATGAAATACTTTAATTATTTACACTTTACAAATACACACACACACACACACAATATGCGCGCGCCATTGAGCATAGTAACATAAGAAAATATATATAACAGCGTTTATATATCTTCTAATCTGATATTCGATCAAACCGACTCTGACGCACGAAACAAGCCGCAGCGCACAACCAATCAGCATTGGTGGAAAAGAGGCTTCATCTCATGTTTGGGATATACGAGTGAATGGGATTCCTAATCGGAAACGCCATTTTGGGACAACTTTGGATATTCCAATCGGAATCACTTATGCTGTGTGTGGGAAAATCTGGGAAAAAGTTTAGGCAAGATAGAGTGAGGTCACAAATATGTGTTAGAGAATTCTCTCCTATGCGTTCGAGCAACTAATTCACGTCGGCAGTTTTCTAGTCGTTTTCTAGTCAAGCTGGATTTATTTAGGTCGCGTCAAACACTTCTACGTGTTACCCACAAACCCCTTTATTTGTCAAGAAAAACCCGGCCCGGCCGGATAAGCCAGAATTAAAGTCGATGTGTGCATACGGTTCTTCAGGAGGAGCTATTTGCATCATCGCGGAACGTTATAAAAAGTGGATGCATTAGTAATCACGTAAGTATCTAAGTGGCGAGATATGCCCAGGGGATTGCGTATCGTCCGACGTAATCCGCGTAATTTTTGTCAGACGAGGCTAAGCGGCAATGCACACAGACAGACGCCGATGAACGTACGCTGCACTTATCGCCGCCTCGCTTTTCTTTCCACCATCTAGTTTGCAACTCGTGCATCATGCCGTTTTCCTTGAGCTTGAGTATGGCGCCGCTCAGCTCCGTACGATAAGGTGAGTCTGTCATCAGAGAGAAGAGACGTTGCAGGTCGCTTCAAGTTAGCTCGTTTCGATCGTTTTCTCAAGTGACGAGACGACAGCCAGTTTGTAACGCGCCTACCGCTCGAACATCGTTCGGTAGCGCGTTATAAAGTAGAGGAAACCGGGACTTATTGTCACACACGTTTTACATACTGATTGGGAGAAAAAGATGTTTCATGTATATTTTAATGTAACTACATTCTTTTAGAAAATACATATTAGTCGTATACATATATATATGTAAGTTGTTCTGTTAAAATTTAATTCTAGACAAAACTGTAAATGGGATCTTTACTCAAGGTCTTAGTGTTGCGATAACTAAATACGGAAAAAATGAGCTAATGAACTACAATATGACTACAGAGAAGTTGCGACCGGTAATTTCGAATAATAAAAATGGAGAGAGGAAGAATATCCTCGCCACGTCATGATTTTGTAAGATGCGATGCGTTAGCAGCCACTTAGTACATTTAACTAACACTAGCAACCTACATTACAAAGAACATGTTCTTTCGTTAATTGAATGAGGTACAAGCTTTGTGATGACTAGCCAGTGTGACTTCTAATTCCAGTCTCCCCTACGTAACGCTGCATCTCGCACTACATATCGAAGCACCGACCTTTTCTCATCGCGATGCCGTAACCCTTGGCGTCTAAGAGTCCACCGACCTGCGTCACGTTGCACACTCTCTGCTTGATATACTCGATTGACGAGGACTCCATGATATACGCGTAATTCTCCTGCTGCACCTTCCACAGGCCGTCTTCGTTCCTCTCCATAAGCACCTCGTCAGCGTGATTCATCATGTAATTATACATAATCTCGTACGGTTCATGCGGGGCGTCCTGCAAAACGAGATCGATCGCCGCGAGAGAGTAGACGCTTCCACGAGTAATAACACCGGGATATCATCGTCAGGCAGTGCGCGCCGCCGTAATCGATAGTCGTTAACCGTCTACGTTTCCAGTGCGCGGGATGTCACTCACCTTGAAGAACGCAAGTGTCGAGCCGCCCTTCTTCGCGCCGTACTTAATTTTATGCTGGTAGGCGAGATCCTCCGCCACCTTGAAAGGCCACACAGTGGATTTCGTGGATAACGCCGCGGCTAAATTGGCGATATAAGTTGATCCGATGATCAGAGTGAAGAACCACCATGCCGTGGCCAAAGCTCTCGTAGAAACTCCTCTAAAATGCAAATTGTCTGTATTGTAAGAAGCTTGGAGGAAGCGATTTCCGCGACTATATATTCTTGTAGGGAAATAATTGGACGGTTAGTAACAATTAAGATAATTAAGATTAAATAGGCTTGCTCGCTTTTTTAACACAGGTAGCTTCTGAGATAAACTTGTGGTTTACGCAAAGAAGTTAGATTAGATAATCATCTTTCAGATTACATTCGATTTATGCGAAGTTCGTATTTTGCGAATGTGACGAAGAAAATGTTTCAACATCGCGCGTTCGATTCCGCGCAATAAAAACTCTTCTGGGCTCATAAAGTGGAGATCGACTCACGCGGGCGCAAATCCGGTAGGAGCCTTCAATAAGGCGCCAATCACGAGGAATGGAGTGTCCGCCAGAGTGAAGGGTGTTTCCAATACTTCGGGTTCCTTGATGCATGGATACGGATTTGTCCATTCCACCGGGCAGAGTTTTCCGATCAGAAATAACAGCGAGGTCACAACGATGTACGCGCCGATCAGGTGCACCCAAACCTCTTTCGAGTACGGCAGCAAGAAGGATAGCAAGCCCGGCGGAGCGGTCGTTGGCTGCCTGTAGAGAACGCTTATACCTGAAACGCCGGTCGATCGGAACGGATTCTTTCGATTTATGCCCCGCCCGTCATCTATGCTACTCGTCGAAGCGCTTTACCTAAATTCATGAACGGCGTCGTAAAGTCGACAGCGCTCTCCCTCTCCGCCGTGATCGTCAGATCCGTGATCGCTAGATCCGCTTCCTTCGGGATCAAATGAGAGATTAATCGTGTTATAGAAATTTCTATAAGAAGCACGACGCATCGGATAAAAAGGGATCCGTTTTTGTACCAATAAAATTGAGTTTTGCATCCTGAAAGTCGCGTCGCTAAAGGAAGAGAGAGAGAAAAAAAAATGAAACACCGCTTACGTTTTAATAAGTATCAATTTTCATACGAACGGTGATCGATTTCGCGGAACGAAACACTATGAAATTACATCGTACCGATGTATCGGAGGAACGCGAAGAGGTAGCTACTTTACCGATGTAAGAAGCTGCAACGTGCTGTTTTCGCGTCATGAGCACGATGAAAGGTAGCAGCACTACTCGCGAAACGACGTGGAAGATCGATCGAGTTCCGACGCTCGTCGATTCCGTTCACGAGGTTTTTTGCGAAACGTCAACTTACGTGGGCGATTATTTTCCCCAGCATGCCGTTCCACCGGCCGCTCGTCTTATTAAGTGAGCCGTAAATGTTGTCGCTCTGCACTTCAAACGTGTAATTAAACCCTAGTATTTTGCTCATCTCCTGAATTATGTCGATTGCGAAACCCTCGAATCGATCGTTTCCAGCTCTTATTGCAGCTGATTGCTTGAGCATTCCATATGGATCCGTCTGGAAAGAAATGATTTCAATTTCATTGGAGATACTTTATCATTTTGGTACATAAATTATTTCAACATTGATACATACAACTTTAACGATATCAAAGTATTTTAATTACAAAATATTAATTATAATAATTACAAAATATTTTATAGTTACAATTAAATGTTTCCTTATTCTCTCTCTTTCGTGATTAATTTATATAATTTATCTTAAAATTATCAACGTTTTGCTCCTTCTCGTAACAAGATAGCAAAGTTTCAAGTTGTTAAGAAAAGTCTACATTCGCCCATATAATGAAACAATTTAATCAGGATAACATGTGCCTACACTGGTAGTTGGAACATACTAACGATATCAGGACGATGAAGTGTTTGTCGCGTAAGCTCTTCCCCTCGTCCACACCTGGGATCTTGTATTCCGACTCCCACTGTATACCGACGTTCGTCTTCCACTCGCCGACTTTGCGCAGACCCTTTTTCCCTAGATTTACGATGTCCAGTTGGAACTCGCTCCGAAATCCGTTTGTGTCGAATTTTATCGTCCCGCTCAGTCCGTGTATGCGCTCCTAGAGGTAATTTTCAAGCTTTCTCCGGGAACATGTCATTACGCATATCCTCGGGATATTCTCCGGGACGTATATTCGCGCGCGAGCCACGGACGCATCTGTGCACGGTTCGTTTCTCTTACATTATTGGCCGAAGGAGGTAAGCGTATTTCTTCGTGCAAATACAGAGTTATTCGCGCTCGATGGAACCGGACTGCGATATCGCGGAGTCCAATCGAGAGCTATGTCAAAATTATTTCCAAATCCATTCTATGTATACGTAAAGAAAATGTACCAATAGAATTGGTCAACACCGTCGTAATTGGAGTAAACCTGCTTGATTCGACGATGATTTATTGAAACAATGTATGATGTGGAGGAAAAGCGCTAAGCTTACATACCATTTCACTTTGTGTTTCACTTGGGCGGTGGGCCGAATTTTAAATACGCACACATGCACATAAACCATATAAATAGTTTCTTCCTCGAACGAGCTCTAAAATTCTGTTGAAGATGTAGCATTAAAATTTACGTGCATGGATGTAAAACATTTCCCTACTAAAATACATTGTAGTTTTTTTGAAAATTATTACATATTGTCTTGCAAATAACTATTTTTTAAGAAGATGGAGAAATAAAGTTTAGTGGCAGAGGATGAAAATTGGCAACAAGACAGAAGAGAGCAGTATTGACTTACCCCGGTGTTGCTGATCAATTCTATCGACACAACAGTATTTTTTCCGCGTACGCGAGATTGATTGAACATCCGAAAGCTTTTTATTTCGTCGTTAAAAATCGTTAAAGAGTAGTCGCGCACGTACGTTTCGCATAAAATTACTCAGACTGAAGCCGTGCCCCCAGGTTTCCGTATCGTTGCAAGACAGCCTCTTGAGGTCTCCCTCGACGCTGTCACGCAGTCGCGCGTAACCGCTTGCGAAAAGTTGCACGGCGTCGTAAGCGAGAGCTGATGTTACCCTCAAGTGGGAACCATCTGTCAAATTCCAATTAAGAGCCCGCAGAATGTGTCGGACAGTCGAGCTTTCCGGATCGATCAAACGTATGCCCGTTAAATTCATCCCGGAATATTGGTACGGCTTTAAATCCAGGGTCTGCAGGTCCTAATAATAAATAATAAGACGCGAGCGTTATATGCTTGCATAAATATGTCCAGGCAAATCGTGCCAAGAGTTTGAACGGTTCGCGTTATTACAAAGAATTTTCGATTTGGATTTTCTGTCAGCCGGTATTTTTAATTTCGTCGCACGCTAATTATGTCGAGTTAAGCAAAGAGGAAATTGCAAAAATATCTGACGTCTTACCAGAGAGGCAACGATCACGTTGTGCTTTCCCGACATTATTCCGACTTGTTGCGCTTGCTCGAGAACGGAGGCAAGGATGTCGTACGAGCAGTCAATTATAAGATTTTTGCAACCGGACCTTTTGACCTCTTGCATAATTTTCCTGCGGGTAGAACGTCTCGTTAAACTTCAGATCGTTTGCGGTTGTTGAGAAAAATCCCGGTAACACGTGCGGTCGCACGTCTGCCGCACTGTCGTGTCGTAAATCATCGCAATATTTTCTGGCATTTATGGCTGGACTGAATAATGGTGCAAGTGTATAATAACTTCGTTTGACAAACGTCGCTCGCGCATGCACGAGATGTCGTTCGGGGAAGGAACTATTTATATGGCACGCGTGTGTACCTAAAATCCGGTCCATTGCCCAAGTGAAACACCATCGCTGAAATGGTGTGCATGTTCGGCAATTTGAGCAAACGATTCATGCGAATTAGGCCGTTGGTGTCGTCGTAAAGTATCGCATATTCCTTCCATTGGAACTTCTTTATTAAGTCTTGAAAAACCTAAACAATCAGCGACCGATATTAACGGGTCTGCTCTTTGTAGCCGAACAGGCCAAATATTCGCGATGCTAAAAATAACGTTAGAAATTATCGAATGAATAAGGGATTTCTTTTTAAGCGGTGTAATTTTTGTGCACTGAGAAAAATTATATTTATTTTTGGCCTAAATTATATCTTTCTTTAGCCACAAAAATTTATGTAATAGTAGCGATATACATGTAATTATTATTGACACCATAAGTAACATTTACCATGAACCAGAAAAATTGTTGTCTTGACTATTATTCTTTTACTATGATCATTATAGTTATAAATACGAAATGTTTCTCTTTCGATCTAATTCACGTTGAGCCGCGAGTCGTTAGCAGTTATTCGTAAAGTCACCGGGATCGCAATGAATAAGAGCAAAAAGTACCATGGAGAGCGTGTCAGCATGCGGATATAGATTTACATTTCCGCGTTTCGGTTCGGGATCCCATCTGGCGGCGATGTGAGGTATATCTAGGGTATCGCACGTACTCTGAACGTGGTCCACCGTCGATCTGTCCTGAGGACCGAATATCCCGGCCACTCCGTTGCCTAACAACTCGCACGCTGCACGTAGCGTCCATAAACAGGTTAACGATATACGTGTTATTCACGTCGGCAATCTAGCTTAACAAATCGAAGACTCGCATCTGCAGCGAGATTGGATCAAATTTGCTTTCGGACTTATAACGCGTAAACGTTGATAAATCGAACAAAATTATGCGGGATAATCTTATTATATAAGAGAGGTGTGTAAATGCGGCGGGTATAGAGCAAAATCTGCTGTTAAAATCCAAGAACACAAAATAATGATGTACCTATATTCGCTACTAGGAATGCATTTTCGTTGACTTTCTCGGTTTTTGCTATTAATAGTATGCCCTTCGCGTGCTCGGAGGTGGTGATGTTCTTGTTCACCGCCTTGACCGATAACTTGAACGCTTTCTGAATCATCTCGTCGCCATCGAACAATCCCCCTGCGATCATTCGGTTTCGTTCGATACGCTGGATTGATACTGTGTGTCTTATTCGATATGCTTTTGCAAAAAGCGTAGCTTACCGATCGGAATTTTTCTCGGAAAGCCCAGAATGTTGGGCGTAAATGCAACAATGACGTATAGGAGCAGCATTTCTCGGCCATTCTAAAAGAGGATCGTAGCTCTAATTACATAGCGATGCATGTATAACAAACGATGTATGTATGTATATTAAACAAGACAGGAGTTTTATGTTTGAACAGGATCGTATCATGTTGACGAAAATGTTTCACGTCACTATGATTAAACGATATTTTTATTTTGCGAAATCGTAGTGACATATCACTAGACAATTTCTTATCTCTTACTTCTTTTAATTATATGAAATATCAAGATATAAATCAAGATAAAATTATTTGTTATGTCAGAAAATTAGAAAATTGTTTTATTATTTTATTAAAGAAGTAAGGATAATTGTTTTTTTTTTCTTTAGGGAGAAAAAGAGCGATGCTTCATTCGTTTCATTAAGAGCACATGCCAAGCTTCAAAATATGGAATTTTGTCGTGATCTCCAAGCTTTCGAGAAAACGGCTCGTAACACTTTGCATGAACCACCCTGTATATACACACAGGCACTTTGGTATATTTAGACGCTTCGCGCCTCACTACGTCAATGCACTCTAAAACGGTTTCTCCCAATCTACGCTGAAAACAACTGTCGAATAGCACGCTGATTTTTAAGAACGCATGCGGATTCATCTCCGAGTGAAGTTCTGATACGAATTCCACGAGCTTTCGAACGTAAGAAATTCGGTTTGATGATGTAATGTACAATGTGCGCTTCATCCAAACAGACCGGGCACCATAAACGCTCGCGAGTTATGGTAAACGCATTTAAAATGTGTTTTATCGGACTCCCGCTAGAAATATACGAATTTTTTTGTTATTTGGAAGAATAATTTTCTGCTTTGTCGACTTCTTTTTCTATTAAACAATATGGTTTACTTAACGAAACAACATTTTTATTCGAGCAAAATGATATTGAATTATGTCATTCAGATGAAACAAATTCAAGCCAAAACAAACTCATATACTATATCCAAAGAAAGCTTCTTCTCCGTATGTATATTTTTAATCGTGTATCGCTATAAAAAGCGTATTAAATACGTTTCAGCGGTCATTGGCGCCATTGTTGGGCGAACACGAGTTTCCGCCGCCGCGAAATCCGCCAATTGAACGAGCGTGTAATCGCGATAAAAGCCGACGTTCGTTCTCGTTCGACGAATTTGAATTAATTCGTCGCGTGGCACAGCCTGTCCAATGCGACGGTGCGCGGACAATCGAGAGAGCTTTTCAACCTCGATCTCATTATGACAAAACGTTAAGCAACGTAGTGTGACACGAGCTATACATTATACGCGCGCGCGGTCAGTTGCCAAAGTAGAAATGCGGGCGTTCTTCCCTTTCGCGCGGCAAAACGAACCATTTTTCGACGATGCGATGTGTTAACGTCGCTTCGCGATAAGACAAAGCCGCGATACTTTCGTTTACTGCTCGCACCGTCCAAATCGACGCGAGATCGATCAATCGAAAGTCCGCCGAGAATTATTATCGCGAAGCACACCGCGGAGGAAGCGAAGAAAACTCCACCGAGTCACTCTCGGATGTGCCGCGAACCGGCGCTATCGAAGCCAGTAGCTAAACTATCCCATAGCCACCGGTTGACTATTTCCACCACATGCCTAAGTCCGAGAAGTAGGTAATAGGACCGTCGCACCTTCTCGTCCTCCTCTCTTGCGCATGATCGTGGCTTATCTCGATCGAGCAGAACGGCGCGATTCTCTTATCGTTCTCGATATTATTATTATTCCACGAATCCGTAATTACGGCGCCGGTGGCCCAGAAGCGCGCGATCTCGCCGGCGGTAATTATCTCCGAGGAAATATTCTCGCGGCGACTCAGCACCCCCGGCTGATTTTTCTTAAGCTAAATTGGCGTGCGCCAACTGTGCGCCAAAATTGCCGCAATATCCGATGCAATAAATTTCCTTCGCTCACGCGCTCTTCGATCTTCCGCAATTTTTGCGGCACTTACTTACGTTTCAAATACGGCGAAGAACGTGTCGAAATGTTAGTCCTACTTTAATTTAGTTCTGCATTAAATGTTCAAAGGTCTTCTATTGTGCTTTTCGCTTAACGCTACAAGGGAGTGGGAATTTCCGTTTTTTTTTCCACTTGAAGACATAATGTAGAATTTAAAATTTCGCCTGGATAAGCTCCTGCTTAATAATATCAGCTGTCAAAGTCGTTGTTAATACATTCATCCCTGTCTCATTTCGTCGTCTCTTAGCATCAATCTCGACGCGCGCCGGAAATAAAATGATACAAGTATAAAGTGAACCCACGTTTGAAAACAGTGTCATATATATTTCTTTGCAATCTTTATGGTATTAGAAATTGTAATTCTTATAATTTTCTTCCATTCGGTCCGCGAGTTTCTTAAAATGCTGACGCTGTAATTCGTGTTAGTTCGTGTGCCAACGCGGGCAATGAAGCCATAAATCCGCGTATGCAAACTTCTCATCATTACTCGAAACTCGCACTGTCGTTAATTGCCGTCAGTTGGCGACGTTCTTATTACCGTCGGTATAAAACCGTACGGAGGGGTGCACCCCCTCGTACTGCCATTGCCGCTTTTACTGGACAGTCCATTTTTTCTTCGCACCGTTTTCGAACCGCTGCACTTCAAGATAAATTTAATTTCGCTCATCAATTCTTCCTTAAAGGATACCTAGAAAGTGTTAATGCACCTGTGAATCGCTAATTCCCTTTTAAATTAAAGAGAGTGGTTACTAAATCAATGAAATGATTTAACATTATCGTATCGTATTAATTTAGTTTTGTAACATCGGTCAAATTCGACAAATCGATTTTACGATGTCGAAAGGGTCCCGAATTTTTGAAATGAAAATTGGTAAATTAATTAATACGGCTTCTACATATTCCGGTTCTCGTCCTAATGAGAAGCGGTACGACTGTATTATAAATGAGAACACTTACATTTTCTCGAATGGACGTTCGGGCAACATCCCAAAGTAACTCGAGTACGGTGTACACGCAGGATAAGGCAACGCCTACGGCGAGTACCAAGAATACTCCTCCAACATTATCGAGACCTAATTCCTGCGCCGTGCTAGCTCCACCGGTCTCCTAAGAAACGGCGCGCAAACAGGCGAATTAAAGTGATGCAATTTGCACCGCATAATAACGCGCCTTTAACCGCCGCTTACCCGACATTTGCCACCGCCTCGTTTTTGCTGCCACCACTTCTTCTTGAGCTCGGTGAGAATGCCGCTTTCCGATAACTTCAAAATGGCCTTGTTGAAGGCGGTCCGATAGCGCGATCCTGCAACAACGACATTTTTCATGATACGAGTGACATCTCTCTTTTTCTCCTACAACCGGACAGTAATGGTTTGGTAACGTTCAAATAAATGAGGTGATATTGCCACGATAATGGTAGGGTAACAGGATATATTTAAATTGTTATATTTTTGGATATGCGATCGTTAAACCCGAGTCAAGATTTTGGTTCTATATTAGATCTGCTCTGGTTCTAAATTAAGTCTTCATTAGGTATTGTGTTCCTTTGATTGACTACAAATGAGAAGTTATTTCCGATTTCTCCAGTTGAAGACTTAATGTAGAATTAGATGGACTGAGTGTAGGAATAAAATTTCGACTCGGGAAAGCTGTGAGAATAAAAACGTCCGAAGGAAGCGTTACAAGCGTATCGTGATAACGTAAAGCTATTTGTGTGAGGTTCACCTTTCTTCATAGCGATGCCGTAACCCTTCTCATCTAGCAATCCACCGACTTGCGTGACTTCGCACTCCCTCTCCATGATATATTCAATTGAGCTGGATTCCATTAGAAACGCGTAGTCTTCGTCCTTAACTTTTTGCACGCCATCATCATTTGACAGCTGTAGTACGTCATTTGCATGACTCGTCATATATTCGTACATTTCCGTGTACGTGGAGTGATTGCTTTCCTTGGGATTGCCAAAATTCTTTCAAAGAACTGAATTAGAATATACGCTCCCGAGCTCCTCGTGCCTATTTTTTAATTGGGCATCTATATATATTAATGTAAGCGTCTTTCTTTGTGTATTATTATATCAATTAGGGAGTAAGGTCATCGTCTAAATAGAAAAATGCTTTCTGCTACTAATTTTAAAGGAATTTTTAGTCACGAAAATATGTCAGCGGCATGTGGGTGACATTGAAGAACCGTCGGTGTGAACGAATAGAAAAGCTAGCGATATTAAAAGGATTGTCTAAGTGCAACTGGATTTCACTAATTATTACGTCTCATTGTAGTAATTTATTAATAACTATTCAAATGGTTGTTGTATGTAATTAATCACGTTCATGCAGTATTAATTGCTGTTATATTTAATGTAAAATTATACTGTCAACATAAATATTATCCAGGAAGTTTTCGCGAATGATGTTTATGAAAAATGTGATGTAAGCACCAAAGAATAGGGGATTATACTATTCGTCTTACGCGTTCGAGAAATTACTCTCATAAGTTATAAGAATATGCTGCAAATATCCTGAAAAATCTCTCACTATGTACATAATTATCATCATTTGATTGTATCACGTGTGAAAATAATTGAAGCTCCTTATATGAATAATCGGTAGATAATTTCAGAGAAAATTTAATCGGGCGCATTTTATTTTTTGAGAGTGAGAAGTTAATTCCGATATTATATTCTGATAAAATTTCAAAATTCCAAAATATATTTACATTTCTGTATCTTCCGTGTCATGAATTTTACCTGGCAATATTTTCGTTTTTTATATCAATGTAGGGAAATGTATCTTTACATATGTGTGTGTGCTAAATTTATTACTACGTGACATTTCTGCTACGTTCTACTTAATTGCTAAATAAGAAATGACACGTCCAATTTATCATTGTCTTGAAATATCTATGAATGCAGGAAGATTTACCTACTTCGAAAAACTTTAACGTGGATCCTTTTTGTTTCGCTCCGTACTTTATGTTCTTCCTTTTTACGAGCTCTTCGACATTATCGAACGGTGACACCACGGTCTCCACAGTTAAAAATGCCGCCAGATTCGCAGTGTAGCTAGATACTATTATCAGACAGAAGAACCACCATGACCCTGCCATCATCCTCGTAGAAATGCCTCTGCGAACAATCACAAACTTTGAATTGATATAACTTTTTTAAATGAAATTATGCGCGTTTCGCTTTTAAACCGAAAAAATTGGCGACGCTGAAAAATTGCATCAAGTGCGAAGAATCAAGTTTTTTTTTTTCGGCAATTCATCCTAGTGCATTAATAATAATTTGATTTTGAAAGATATACTTACATTGGTGCAATCTCGCTGCCTTGTTGCATAATACTGCCTATCGCGAACCAAAATGCATTCTTGAACGTGAATTGATTTTCCAATTCTTCGGCATCCTCAATGCAAGGATAAGGATTGTTCCATTCTGCCGGGCATAGTCTACCGATTATGAATAAAAGAAGGGACACTACTATGTAGGCCCCAATTAAATACAACCAGACGTCGTTGGAAAACGGTGACAAGAATGAAAATAAACTCGGAGGCGCTCTCGTGGGCTTTTTGTAGAGAATGCTTATACCTGTAAAATAAAATACAATTTTACATTTGGACTGTGTATATGTGAATCAGCGGTGTCATCACTACCGGTTTTATCAAAATATATAAAATGATTTAATTCTATAAAATTCACACGCGCGATAATAATGTTGCATACGAGATCGTTTTGTTCTCGTCTCAATCCGAGTTGAAATTTTAGTTCTACATTGAGTCTTCAAGTGGAGAAAACAGAAATAACTTCTCATTTGTAGCGTTAAAGTTGCACAATGGAAAATCTTTAAAAACTTAATGTAGAATTAACTAAACTTGATGATTTTTCTCTTTCTTTTCATTTAATGCGAATACGACGGATCGAATCATTTAACGCTAATATAACAGTTCGCAGAGTTAAGTACTAAATATTAAACTTAACTAAATTCATGAACGGCATCGTGAAGTCGACGGCAGTCTCTCGTTCTGACGTGATCGTTAAATCCGTGATAGCCAGATCTGCATCCTGAAAAAGACGGTTTCCGAATTTCGTTATTTCGATGGAAATATTCTTTTAGAGTCATGCGACGACGCCGGTGATAAAAATCATCATTCGGAATTTCTAACACTACTAACATCAGTTCTAATTTTCCCGAGCATGCCAGTCCACTTTTCAGTGTGCTTGTTCAATGATCCGTAATCGGACTCCACTTGCAGCGTGTAATTGAATCCGAGATCCTCGCTGATCAATTGCATAATGTCGATTCCGAAACCTTCATAACGATCGTTACCGCTCAGCATAGACCACGATTCTTTTCGCATACCGTACGGCGCAGTGAGCGATATCAAGACGATGAAAGTTTTATTTTGCAAACTTATTTCCTCTTCTGTCTTCTTCTTGCTGACGTCCGGTATCCAATCAATGTTCTGTCCCGACGTGCTATTCCACATCCCAATTTTAACCAAACCGTTTTCAGTCAGACGTACGATGTCTAATTGTATATTGCTGCGGAAACCGTCTCTGTCGAACTTAACGAGGCCCGTCAAACCTCTCGTTTCTGCCTGAAAGCAAAAGAGATTGCGCGATATAATTTGCGTGTTTAAAAAAGAACGTTATATTATTATTACGAGAAATTATAAAAGTTTATGATAACTTATTTATTAACGGAAAACTCTTAGAAAAAGAAAAGAAGATCCACACAGAAAAAAGAAAAGACAAAAATATACATGTAAGTAAAATAAAAAGTGACTACTTTTCGAGAAATTTTATTTCTTATTCTGATATCTTTCAGTATAAGAAACATCTCATAAACTATCCATTTATTTTAATGTTACATTTATTCGCGCACCTTTAACTAGCGTTCGATCTTTCTCCACTTTATTATCAATTTGTAATCTATGAATCTTAATTTTGTTAAGTATTTATCGTTAGTATATTTTTAGAAACTGGGATTATGAATATTGTGTAAGGATTCGTCGTTGAAACGCGTGAATAGAATACTCCGCGTGTGGGAACTCTTGCGGCAAACGGATTAATTTAACGTCTAATTTCCGATTTTTCTACTCAAGTCTTACCAATCGCATAAAGTTGCTCAAACTTAGCCCGTGTTCCCATCTCTCACTGCCGTCGCACGGTAGTTCCTTGACGTCACCCTGCTTCGTGGCATCCCTGAGTTGCTTCAAGGCCCTCGCGAAAAGCTGCACCGCGTCGTACATGAGCGCGGGTTCGGTTCGCAGCTTCGAAGAATCGTCCAGATTCCATTCGTTCCTGTGCTTGAACATGGTTTCATTCACTATTGGATCTTCGGGGTCAATAAGTCGCACACCGGTGAAGTTGACGCCGGAATACTGATACGGCTCTAAGTCCACGGCTTGCAAATCCTGTGCGTACAACACACATTCATTGGCATGTATCTCAGCCGCGAGCTTAACTGTCAGGCGATTCGTGAAAAATATAAGCAGTACTACGCGTATCAAGTTGTGTTCGTAACTTACATCGTCGTTAAAGTTTGAATGTAGCGCCGATAAAGACTATCCGATGTGAAATATCTCGTAGTTGTTATTTTTATGATGTAACTTTACGTTTTTAATGTAAAATTATTAATTGTAGTATTTTTTCGCTTTTCTTTCAGAAGATTTCTCATTCCTGTTATCGTGAACCTTGTATTAATTCATTCTTTCAGGGAAAATGAAGTTCGCTAGGACGATATCACGCAGTTTATTCTATTTTATTTGATTTATATTTTATTGTAACTCGCTTGAAGCGCGCGTGTGTATCTCTTACCAAAGAAGTCACGATTACTTTGTACCGTTCGGACAAGATGCCAACTTGTTGGGCCTGTTTGAGGACATCGTCGAGTATGTCGTACGAGCAATCGATGATGATGTTCTCTAATTCCGCATCTTTAATCTTTTGCATCGCTTCCCTACACAGGATTCGACGCCAAGCTGTACAATTAACCCCACGTTTTTTTTTTTTGGGAACATTTTCTCAACTATTAAGCTCGCCGATCTTTTTAATCCCATCTAGTCAACCTCGACGCGAACGGGATTTGCAATGACACGAATTGCGAATTACGGAATAGTCGTCTTCTATGATGATAATTTTTAAAAGTTACTTGACATTATTGAGTGCACACGCTGCGATGTTATTAAGAATATTCGCGCGCTTATAACAATATATATTGGACGAACTAATTATTAGAATAATAACTGTTAATAACTGTTATTGACGGAACTTAAACGACCAGGCAGAATTGATGAGTATGCGCGGCAATGTAAAAGTATAAAACCCAAGTAAAAATCAGTCGAGGGAAGAACTGTTTTTTTCGTGACTGTGGGATCGAAAGATCTTCGACTGTGATATCGGGATTTTTTCTCTTTCCTGTACCTATAGTTCGGTCCTTCTCCTAAATGAAACACGAACATGGATTCGCCATGGGGATCCCATCGTTTCAATAGAAGACGCAGACGAATCAGACTGTCGGTGTCCTCGTACAATATTGCGAAAGACTTCCACTTGAACTCCGTGACGAGTTGATCGTACAGCTTTGATCAATTGATTGAATGTGATTAGATTTCGAGTATCTCTTTTTTTTTTCATTCATTTAAATAGTTCATTTATATAGCATGATACAGTATAGTATATATTAAAATATAATCTAATTTATAGAGTAGTATTGTTAATGTCCTGCGCTCTAAAAGTTAAAACATTTTGATTAAAATCTTAATTAATTTAAAAATTTTTAGAGCTTCAAACGAGGCTATAAATTAGATTACGGATCTTATCGTACAATCGTACGTTGATTTCGTGAATAAATATTGAGTTTTAATCTATTCACAGAAATATGTGTTAGTTCACACATACTATCGTTTGTCGTTCTGCTTTGTTTTCTAGTTGCGAATCAGTTAAAACGATTATCATGTTGACACTTAAAGATTGATTTACATAAATACTTACTCGTGCTAGTATGCTCACGTGCGGATACAGATTCAGACCTATTCCACGTGGCTGGGATGGTTCAGCGGTATCCTGTCGCACGGAGATGTGCGGTATGTCCATCGAATCGCACATGCTTTGCACGTGCTCCGAGATTACTTTGTCCTGAGGGCCGAAGATCCCAACGACACCCAGGCCCACCATTTCGCATACTGAACGTTTCGAAAAATTAATTTTTTAGAGTCGCATACAATACGTAGATATAGTACATTATACAACAGACAGAGAGAGGGTTGACACAGAGGTTGCTTTGTTACATTGCGTATTTTATGGTTTGTGTAAAAATTATTTGTAAAGTCATCACCAACGACCATTGTAATGCCTATTCATACATACTTCGTACCACTATCGTTGCGGAAGGATTAATCGAATATAAAAATTGACATACGAAGATCACGTTCTACATGAAGCGTAAGATAACGAAAGAAACAGACGGATATTCGATATGAGAATAAATATGCGACGAGAATACATGTACATTGATTCTTGGGACATGCGAAAATTCGTTGGAAAATTGTTCGCTACATTGTTTTCATTAATTATAACGAAACTGAGTTTACCATGTCCAATCAGAGAGCTGCCATCTATATCCATCGCTTTCTACTATCCTCTTAGGTCATTGTTTAATTCCATGTCTGCAAAATGACTCATCTTTCAAGCCGATGAAATCACCGACGACCCGACCGAATTTTTGCGTGCCCGTCTAATAATACGAAATTCGTGTCACACGCGATATAGTCCAGAGAACTCACCTCTCTCGGCTGTCTCGAACACGTCGAACAGTGTAATGTTATTCGAGTTCTGCATCAAATACACTTTTGGTAGTTCCTCGTTATCGTTTTTCTCTTTGTTCACCGCCGACACCGATGATTCGAACGTCCACCGGATGTCTTCATCCTTGTCGAACAGTCCCACTGTAATGTACAGCCCGCTCTTTTTAAAGTCGAGTCCCACTGACGCGTTCGAAAATAGCTCACGAAGCACTTCCGCAAAGTAGCGTGCCTACGCTTCGAACATCTCTTATCGTATGCGCGCAATTTCTCTTCGAACATCTGAAGACATCATTTTAACAAACGATGCTATATTTGCATTTTAACGAAAGATACGGCGAAGACAAAATTTCTCTAAAGACTGCAGTGCCTACTGATAGTTAATAACGTAGTAATTAGTTAATAATATCAAAAACGTGTAGAAAATTAATATAACAAATATCGTAAAACAGTACTTATTGAGGCAACAAAGCAGATCGATTCCTTTTTTTCAATCGTATCATCGATACGCTTCGAGATGAATCGCGCTAAACTTCGCGACCAAGGAAAATATACCAATCGTTACATCGTACATCGCGTTCGTATTTTATTCGTCGTCCTTGTCGCTCGTTCATCTTACCTATATTCACCCTTTTTGCGAAACCTACAATGCAGGACAGGAATATCGGCAGAAGTATCAGCAGGCGTTTGGCCACCATCTTATGGTCATTCTGTGCACACATAACGGACAGAGTTAAAACACGTCAGTCGATACAGACGAATATACATGCGTGAACGCACATCCGAGCTCTGACGAGCATCTTGACAGGTGCTGGTGCGTGTCCAATAAACTCGGATGTAAACGCACGCAGCGTGCACAACCGGACGAAAGATCTTGAACGAGCACTTAACCGGTCGACGTTATATAAACTAAGGCACCGCGCCGCCTGAAAGTCGCTCTCGAGGCGCATAAATATTTAGACCCCCGTCTAAAATCAATCTTTCAATATTGAGTTTAGTTATTTGCTCTCGTGCTTCTTAATAAATCGCTTCGCTTCGCGTGCGACAAATATCGCGTCGTTTTCCCGTGAGTCGCCTTTATCTCTCGCAGGTGAGAAAATAGATTCTCTCTTCCTCCCCCTCTTTTTCTGTCCCGTCGCACACTTTAAACTATTTATGCGCTACGTGAAAAATTAATAAGATGTCGGTACACCGCAGCGCAGCTTGCGAACTATACATAACGTTAGTTCCGAGAGTTTATTAGCCAATACGTCCGAGAATTGCTGCATCCTTTTTTGCCTGCATTCGTAGACGAATGTGAAGATGATCTTCGCGCGATTCTTGTTGGGGGCTATTATTGACACGCATAGATACCTTTCTATAATATGAGGGAAACGTTTCTTTTGGAACATTCATATTCAAGTAGCTCGTAATACTGAATTAGCTGAAGAACAAGTAGATATTTATCTTCTCCGAACTCCCAACCTTTCTTTGATTATAATTACGCCTTTCTGCCAATTTTTCCCTTCAGAGGAAGATTTGAGGAAGAATATCTGTGAGGTAACAGTTTCAAAACTTCAAATGAATATATTCGCATGCGTGATATAAAGTTAAATTTGCAAAATTTTACATTCAGTAAATTAAATTTCTGAATACACACACATCCGTGATATAAATACTCGTCGCGTGGTGAGGACTGTCTCGCGGTCTGGACTTAATTAATGTCTCGAAGCTACGTAAACATGCGTCCGAGTGTCTTTTACCCGCCGGCGACCAGCGTCTGCGTCCCGAGTGCGTGCTTTTAGCAACATCACACGCATTCAGAGTTCCCCGGAGTCTACTGTCATCGTGCCAAATGCACGCAGTCTGGCGCGTTCTTTTTCATTCATTCATCGGACGGCAGACAGCATTCATGCCTATTTATCGGGGAGGGGGGCCGCATGTAACTGTCGATCCGTCCCATCGCGGGATTGAAGCGCCCGCGAACCCTCGACGAGAATCGTCGCGGCCGCGTGTCTCGCGCGATCCAGCGCGTACCGTCGGCACGACATGGAAAACTAACGAAAATCTTTCGCATAACGACGTCGGTATATTTAGACGCCGAGCCTCGTCGCCGCCGCCACTGGTGCTTGTCGCGCGTCCGCCGTGTGACATAGATTTCGATTGGAAGTGTTTCTTCACGACTCGCCTAATTTCCACCGTGCCACGAGAACGTAAAATCATCCCATTTGTCTCTGTTGCTTATCAACGACGGGATATTCTCCCCGAGAGAGAAGCGTCGAATTTCGTCATGCGCGTCCTTCCCTTCTAATCCCCGCGACTTTGAGTCCGTGTTTAATGTCCGAGTGAAGAGAGCGAATTACGCGAGTTTCCGTTCTACCGTCGTACCGGGCGGGCGCATTACTCCGAGGGAGGTTTTCAAGGGCTCGCAAGAGTGCTTACCTAGAAGGCGACGATGTTGCTCGCTACCTGGGATGGAACTTTTGAGACGCGTGCTTCACCGGACGAACCTCGCGGCACGCGACTCTAAATCCGAACGCCACTTCTTGTGCGGCTCCTCGGCGCGGCGCATGCTCTGAACTCTGTTCCAAGTTTTCAGGGTCCCCGTCGTCGCGACGGAAGACGGTGGTGCCGTCGTCGAGCGCGTCGAGTCTAACGCAGAAGAGCGTCGCTCAGGTGACAGCTGATAAGAATATACACCAACTCGTGGACATTTTTATACCTTCTTTTCCCTTTTTTTATTTAGGAATCGAAATCTCTCGATGTGTTGTCCAAAATAATGTCGGGGAAAATAATCATTCCGACGCGGTTGATTTTTCTCGCTCTCGTCTTTTAAGGATTTTATCCTTTCGCTCACGGGCAGACGAAGCCTGCACTCTCGCGTGACGCTTTCGAGGCGCAAATTTAATTTAGCTCTCGCAGATATAATCCTGTATCTGATAACCTTCGATGATTCGGTGTGAATTTGGGAGAATTAATGGATGCGAGAGGACGGATCGGCTTTATTGGCAGGAAAGCGGAAACGTACAATAGATAGAAGGATTGCAAAACGCTTAACTGATGAATTAAAAATTGGGAGGAGATAAATAATAAAGCGAGATGCAGCGCTGTGATATTACCGGGCCGATTTAAAATGTCCAATAAAGATGAAATTTTAGCCTTAATGGCTAAATGCATTTCGCGCGGGAAATTATTAATCACTTTTCGATACTTTATTTGCATTAATCATACTTCGTTTGACAAGGTTCCGTTGTCGCCTGCAAAGTGCGTATAGCGTGTATAATTACCGTAAAAGTCGTGTCTTTCAGGTGCGTTGGTACCGATGCACATATCGCCCCTCGCACAGATACGAATTAGAGTAAGTAAATTAGACAACTATGCTGATGCTCTGGGATTAAGAGCTTCGTCGGACGCGAATGCATTAACTTAGATAGTTAGAGAAAATTAGCTGTGTCGGTGCATAGGGGACCGAGATTCTAATCGCGGTAACTAAAAGTATAACTACGAGCAATTACCGTGAAATTGAAATGTATTGTTAGAAGTATCCGGCGCGCGGAAATGAGAGAGAAGTCCTCGTTGTGTTTCCATGTCACTACCGTTCTTTCATTGAATTGTACTTGTAATTCGTAAACTTGCGCTTGACTCCGCAACTTCGGATTAATCGCATCTGCTAACCCATCGACAGTTTCTCTTTGTTTACACTTTTACAGTCACTTGCCATTCGTGATAAACAAAAATAAATGGACGACTCATATTTCACCCGAAAAATGAAATACGTTCATACATGAATGTGATATCTCTCAATTCATTATACATTCGTGCGGCGCTATTTGAGTGTCGTGTTTGCGACTAACGCGATATTCCGAGTAAATAAATACTTTTCTCCGGAATATGGAATATTCAAAATCCTTGTTTTAGTTGCTTGTCGGATGGTAATCATTTGGAACTTTTTTTGAAAAAGCAACAGAAAAGAGTATGCTGTTGTCATGGCAAAATTTGCATTTATTTGAATAAAGTTAATGAGATTTGTTGTTTATTATTTCTTCATTCATTTTATTTTAAATTAGACAAATAGATATCTCAGAATTGAACTAAACATACCCAAACAATACTTATGTCTAAAAGATGTCTCAAAATTGTCTAAAAGACGTCTTTACGAAGTCTCTCAGGACTTAATATTATCTGAGTTAAAAATGATACTCTCTGATTGCACAGCATTTTGTTGCACTTCCCAGAATTAGTTTTCTTAACAGCTTTGACATTTCGAATCTTTGAATAGAGTTCGAAACTTCGTACAATTCCTCTTCGAATCTTCGAACTTTGTCGTCATTAAACAATGTCGAATTATATCGAAGTTTCAAAGCTTCGAATATGTCGAGTAGTACCGCTCCGCGTTGATTAACAAGTTGGCTATCTAATTTGAGGACATGACCGACCAACGATCGCCGGAGGATCCGGGAAAAGAGTGTGACGAAGGCGCAATCACAACATAAGGCGTTCAAATGAGAATTTACAGACGATTAATTTATTCACGTTTAATATGATATTCGTAGTACATTTTATATAAGAAGTAGAATCGATAGGCTTCTTTCTCTTAACAAACTCTTATATCGCGTGTGTGTGTGTGTGTATGTGTGTGTGTGTGTGTACGTACGAACGCAAGGTAACAAGTATGTAGTATCGACGATATTTACAGTGAGTATCGTGTGGGTGGGTGTGTGTGCGCGCTCGCTCGCTCACTCACTCACTCACGTGTGTGAATATGTATCGCGCGTTTGTATGTACGTCTATGACCGCATTCGGAACTCGATAAATCGTGCGGGGGGGGGGGGGGGAACAAAA